TAGAAACAATCTAAGTGCCTATCAATGGACTACAATTTGTTGCATGAAAAGATGAAATCCTGCCATTTACAACAGCATTTTTTTTAAATGACAACTCTTTTTTTTTTTAGATTTATTTATTTATTTATACAAGCACTGGGTACAGTCAGAAGCGCAGGAGGGTGAGAGAATTCACCAGAGCCAGAGCGGGGAGCAGAGCAGGCAAAGGACCGAAGCACACCGCTGAGGGGAGCAGCGGGCGGCAGGAGAGGTCTGCGCGCCATGTGGGACCCTCCTCTGGTGGCCGGGGAGCAGCCGGGGATCGAACCGGCGCTGCAGAGACTGCGGGCAGCTTCGCAACCCAGCACTCAACCGCTGCACCGCCGGGGAGGCCCCTACAACAGCATTAAGGAACCTAGAGAGAATTATAGTTAGTGAAATAAGCCCTATAGAAAAAGACACAGTATGGTATATAGAGAAAACAAACAGATAAACTAAATCAGTGAAAAATAACTTTTGGACTATAAGACCAATGAGTGGTTACCCGAAGGGAAGGGAAAAGGGGGAGAGCATAAACAAAGGGGAAATGATGAGTGACAGATTTGTAATTTTGAATTGAGGTTTAGGGAGCAGATCCAGAGTCCGAGGACCACATGCTGGCTGGTTCTTGATTCTTGTCTTAGGCAAGGAAAGAGTTCAACATCAAGACCAAAGTTACAGAAAAGCAAGAGATTTATTGATAGGTAGAAAGAAGGACAGGAAAGCTCTCTGAGCAGAGAGGGGTCCTGAGTGGGTAGCCACTGAGGGGACAAGAAGCAGGTGTTTATATGGTTATAGTGGGCAAGGAGTGAGTTTTGGTTGTTGGGTGTCTCCCTGTTATGTCTCTTGCTGATTGGCTGGGCCTGCAGGGTTTTCCTAGGCTACATATGTCCACTGAGTTTGTCCACATTACCTGGCCTACCTTTCCAAAACTAGATTTGGTCCGTTACTTTAGCACTGTGTTATTGCGTTAGAGTTCTGAACATTCCACTCTTGACTGGGTTATGGAGGCACCCTTTTGGTCCTGGATCGGTCTCCAGTCAGGCTGATAGATAGACCTGGGGCACCTGGGCTTGGGCTGGGAGATGCCCTCCTAGCTCCACTAGATTGTTTCTCAGTTAGGCTGATAAATGGACTAGGGGGTTTGGGGCATCCTGTTCCTAATTGACTGCCTATATCCACTTCATTACTTCCTCTTTCACTTTCAGTAGTGAAGTAATGTAATATATACATGTTGATTCTCAATAATGAACACCTGAAGCTTATAAAATGTTATAATGCAATGCTTCTTCAATGCAAAAATTATATATATTTATATATAATCTATATTATCCAGTCATAAAAGGAAGACTTTTCATTTGCAACAACATAGATGAAACTGGAAGGCATAATGTAAATTCATAGAAGCCAGAGAAAGAGAACTTCTGGTCAGAATCACTTTTTATTGGAAATTTTTAAGAGCTGATTTTGTAGAAATAAGAGTAGAATGCCAAAAACTGAGGGAGAGGAAAGTGGGGTGATGTAGGTCAAAGGGTATAAACTTTCAGTTAAAAGATAAATTCTGAGGGTCTAATGTACAGCATGATGACTAAAGTGAATAAAACTGTCTTGATTACTTGAGGATATTCTATGAGACTATATTTTAAACACTTTCATGCAAAAAAGAAAAAAAAAGGATAACTATGTGAGGTGATGAATTCATTAGATTATTTGATTGTGGTCATTATTTACTCTTTAAATACTACAATTTTATTTGTTCATTATACCTCAATAAGAAGAAATAAAAATAATTATTGGTAAGTAGTATATCAGACAGCCGTGATATATACATATATACATGAGGGCTCATATTACTAAGTGAAATAATCCAATTTGGAAAAGCTGCATACTGTATGACTAGAATTACTTGACATTCTGGAAAAGGAAAAACTATGGAGACAGTAAAAAAGAGGTTTCCTGGGATTAGGGGGAGGGAGAAAGAATGAATAAAGAGAGCCAGCAGATTTTTAGCACAGTGAAACTATCTTCTATGACACTGTAATGGTGAATACATAGCTTTATGCGTTTGTCTAAACCAATAAAATGTGCCACATTAAGACTGAACCCTAATGTAATCTATAGATATGAGGTGATGTGTCAATGTGTCAAATATACCATTCTGGTGGGGGATGTTGATTGTAGAATAGGCTAAGCATGTGTGTGTGCATTGGAGAGAAGGTGTTATATGGAAACTCAATGCACTTTCCACTTAAATTTGCTGCTAACATGAAACTGTTCCAAAAAATAAACACCACTTTTATTACATTTTACATTTTTTTTAATAGAGGCATGTTTGTTTATTTATTTATTTATATATTTGTTTGTTTGTTTATACAAGCACTGGGCACAGTCAGAAGCGCGGGAGGGTGAGAGAATTCACCAGAGCCAGAGCGGGGAGCAGAGCAGGCAGAAGGACCGAAGTACACTGCTGAGGGGAGCAGCGGGCGGCAGGAGAGGTCTGCGTGCCATGTGGGACCCTCCTCCGGTGGCCGGGGAGCAGCCGGGGATCGAACCGGCGCCGCAGAGGCCGCAAGCAGCTTCTCAACCCAGCGCTCAACCGCTGTGCCGCTGGGGAGGCCCAAACACCACTTTTAAAAGGGGAATATGGTAATACTTTGGTAATAGGCCATTCTTAGCCTATTGACAACCAATGTTGTGTCTCTACCAAGCCTTGTAGTTCTTGTATGATTGCAAGGAAACCTCAGTGATAAGTTGTTTTCTTATTTGCAATTTCGTGAAATTACATGGCACAATTGCGGTCACGGAGAAAGGGGGAAGGGGAGGGGAAAGGGAAAGAGGGTGAAAGGATGAGAGGGAGACAAGAAAGGAAGGAGAGAGAGAGAAAGGGGAAGGAGGAGTAAAAGGAAAAGCAGGATTGGGATTCAGTTTTTATTGGGATTGAGGTTGGGAATCTAGGGTTTTGTGGGCTAGTATTTATCTGTGAATTTAAAACAGAGTAGAAATTTAAAGCACAGAAAGAGAAAAAAACAGCAGCCCAAAAGACCAGTAATCTAAGTGGAAGTTGGGGTGGCCTGGTTTTTATCTTGTCCTTTGGCAGGCAGTATGCTTGAGACAGCTGAAATTGAAGTGGATCACTCTTTGAAGTAGAGGCCTTGGCAGTCAGAGCTGAAGTCAGGCACTGGCATTGCAAAAATAGAATAAAAAAACAATTGTCGGGACTTATACTGCAGTGTTGGGAATATAGTCACTAACAAAACAAAGTCTCTCTTTTGTTATGCTGTTATTCAACTACTTTAATAAGAGCTCTGTTGAGAAATAATTGGTAGAAAATAAACTATACATATTTAAAGTGTTATATTTTATAGTAGTGTTCTGCACATATATATATATATATATATAATATATATATATACCCAAGAAACCTTCACCATAGTGAAGACACTGAAGATATACATCAGCCTTAAAATCATCTCATGCTTGTTTGCAATCCTTTCTGTCCCACCCTTCTCTCCAGGCAACTACTGAGATTTCTGTCACAATGTCACTTGTATTTTCTAGGGTTTTATAAAAGTTATATATATATATATATTATATATAGCTATAGTTATATATAGTTATATATATACAGTAGGTATAATTTTGGGGTCTAACTTCTTTAACTTGGAATAACATATATTACATATATTATATAGTTATATAGATTATATAGTTATATATATATTATATATAGTTAGAGAGTCATAGAGAGAGTTATATATATTAGAGGTCTATATATTATATAGTTAATAGTTTTATATATAGTTATATGCATATATATTTATATAGTAGGTATAATTTTGGGGTCTAACTGCTTTCACTTGGAATAATTATATTAAAATTTATCCATGTGATGTTTATCCATATTGTCATTTGCTTTTATTGCTGAGTAGTATTTCATTGCATGGCTATACTGTTTTGTTTATCCATTTATCTGTTGGTGGGTTTGGGTGTTTTCAATTTGGAGCTATTACCAATAAAGCTGCCATGAACATTCATGTATTTCCTTTTCTCTTGACAAATACTTAAAGTGGAATAGAAAGACCACATGATAAGTGGATCTTTAACTTTTAAAGAAACTGCCAAACAGTTTTCTAAAGTAGTGATCAGCAGTGTATGAGTTTCAGTATGTCTACTCTTGCCAACACTTCATGTGGTCAGTATATTTTATTTAACTTATTCTAATAGATGTTTATAGTATCTTTCTTTGATTTTAATTTATATTTTCTTACTATCTAATGACATTGAGCATCTTTTGGTGTGCCTAACAGGCATTTTTATATCTTTGTTTGCAAATTTCTGTTACTAGTGGATGTTGGATTTGTCATATTCATTCTTCTGCAACTATTGAGGTGATCATATAGTTTCCTTATTAATTTCATTAATGTGGTAAATTACACTGGTAGATGTTTGAATATTACACCAATCCTGCAGTCTTGGGACAACATTCAGTAGTGATATATTGTCCTTTGAATATAAGGATTTTAATCTGATAAAAGTTTATTTAGAATGATTGCATCTAAGTTTTTGAGGGCTATGGATGTAGTTTTCCTTTCTGTTCTTGCACTGTTTAACTTTGTTGTCAGGGTAAAGCAGACTTCGTAGAATATGTTGTGCCAGGAGTTTGGGCATGGCACAGGAGAGCTATTCAATAATTCTTTCATTGATTATTTGGAATAGAGAAGGGTGAATTAATATGAAACAAATAAACAGATCTTGTTTCAAAAAACAGTTTAATAAGAACATAAAGAATGTATAATTAGCAGATATTTTTCCATGCATAAGAAACAATTACGATTCACAGTCACTGTCTCTTTAGTCTTCCTTGTGACCCTGAGATGGGAATTATTACACTTTTTTTGAAGAGATGAGAAGCCGGAGAGGTTTTTACTTGCAAAAAGTCATTGGCTGTAAAGAGTTGGCACAAACTGAATTCACTGTCAGTCTTCTTCCCTCCCCACCTCAGGGCAGTATGAATTCCCTTCACCTGAAGCCATCTCTGCTGATGCTGCCCAATTCTGGAGCCTGAGAGAAACCCCAGTGTCCTAGAGGGTAGTGTGAGGAGTTAGTCCCTCTGGGCATCACTCCCAGAAAGGAAGGGTGTGGTCACCTGCGCAGAGGAGTCTGAGTTGTCTGTGTTTGGGGTTCTGGAGGTCCTTTGAGAAGGGTCTTCTTCCTCCGATCTCTGGGGCACATGACAGATGAATATGGGAGTTGCACCATATGCTTCACGCAGGATGTAAGGCCTCAATAACCCTTCAAATTCATGTTCCAGGGTACAAATGAGGGACTGATCATTTATATTGAAGAAGGAGATGGACCCACCTTCATAGTCCAGGAAGATCCCCACTCGTGTAGGGGGGATTCTCGGAGATAGGTCAATTCTATCAGGACTCAATGTGAAATACTCATGTTCTTTACCCAGTCTCAGCACCCAGTGCCCATTTTTGGGAGACAAAATATCAAAATACATCTTTCTGTCAACATCATCCCGGCAGATGCCCAACCCCCACTGTTTATTGTGTCCCACGTCCACCTCCCAGTAATGTTTCCCTTCCTGGAAACCCTGAGACGCCACCACACATTTCCTCCAGAATCTCTTCTCTGAGTAGGGCACACTCTGGTGAAAAATCATATAAGTCACAGCTTTCAGATCAGAAATCCCAAGCTGAGGATGAGCCGTATCTGGATCCAGAGTCACCTCCACTGGTGATGGTTGGGGAGAAAGGATGAATTACTCTGAAGGGAACTGGCTAGGCCCAGAGGTCAGCCTCTCCCACTACAGACTGGGTCAGGGGGTACCAGGGGGGATCCCAGAGCCAAAGTCTCCATCATACACTGTCCTTCCAGTCCCTCCCTCATGTCCAGGGCAGCTTGGGTCTTCAGCAATGGCTGCAGATGCCCTACTGTAAGGGTCTGACTTCTGTACTGTCCTAAGCTTACTAATGTGCCTTCATGTATTGACTTTGGAAGACCTTAATTGTTCTATTTATCTCCCTTTCTCTCATCCTCAGTCCTGACAACTTTACTCATTCCCCTCAGTCCAGTCCCTCACTAGTGTCCTCAATTCCCTGGGACTTTATTGCAACCACCATCTGGCTGACCTAGCCCCTGCGCTCTCCCCTCTTAAATCTAAGCTGGGAATTGTGTCTGAGGAAGCTGCACCCTGTGGTGGATTGGGGCATCACAGATCATCATTTGCAGGCCAGGTGGGCCTTGCTCTTCCTCTGCATCTCCTTCTCTGACACTGATCAGCTCCCTCTCCCACACCCTCTGAGGTTCTGTTCCACTATCATTCCCTCAGTAGGAGTTGGTACCTGCATGTTTCCGGGCCTCTTTCCATTCTGAAAATAAGCAGAGAGAGTAAAGAGGTCATTTCTTACACGGGGGAGCAAGAGACAGGGAGAGGGGAGAGTAAGGGTGTTGACCTTTTTGAGTGTCACAGGTCCCACAGAGATTTGATGAAAGCCATGGGGATTCTCTATAAAATTCACCTCTCCCAAGATCTTCAGACAAGTTTCAGGGTTCCCATCAGAGACTTTAAAGACTCATGAATCTCAGGGCTCAAGAAACCTAGGGACTGGTATGGGACCATAAATAGGGGCCTTAGGGGAGTGGCTTCTCTCACCTGCTTGTTTGTATTCCCTTCTCCAGTCTGAAAACAGAAAACACAGAAGAGGTTCACATCACAGAACAGGGATCCATAAAGGAAAACTCTGGATAATATTCTTCCCCAGTTTTTCCATGAAGTTTCCATGACACACACACACAAAAACCCAGAATATTCTGTGGCTGATACAAGCCTGGATAAAGACTCCAGGCAACAGCCCAGGGAGGAGGTAGAGGGAGACACCACACAGGCTCATCCCCACATTTGGGTCACACATTCTCAGAAACCTAAGTTTCCTTCCCCCACAAAAAATACAAAAGGGAAAATTTGCAGACAGTTTTTGGCGGTTTGATATTCAAATGCCCATCACAAACACCAAATATCCAGGATGAATGCACTAGTAATGGATAGAAAGATGAAACAGCTTTCCCTTTGTCTTCCCTTGATTTTTCCCATTATAAAGTCAAGAGAACATAGAGATGGCTCAAACCGCACAATAGGAGGGACCCAGGAGAACTGGGTTTGAAAGCTCAGAACATGACAAAACACTTACCCAATTCTGTCTGGTTTTTCTCTGAAACAGAAAGACAATATTCAGTGGGGAACACAGGAGTGTACAAGGTAGAAGCACAGCCCTGGCCTCCTGCTTAGGAGGACAAGCTCTGAGTGAAGAGCAAGAGCAACCTTTGAGCTCCCTTTTGTGCCCACCTTCACCCTCTAATGAGTATCTCGGTCTGGGACAAAATAAGAGATCAGAACATTCACACTAAAACGAGGGGCTAGCATCAGGGATGCTGTGGAGGTGGATGGGGGTATGAGGAAGAAGGCTGCTGGCATGAGAGAAGGGGTAAGGCACACAATGTGAGGGGGAAGCATCACCTATAATGAGAAATTTATTTATTTAGGTAAAAAGTCTTATTGAAAGTGAATATTGTTTTACCTTGTTGTCTTCACTTTTATTTCCTCTGATATGAAGTTTTTGCAACTACATTGAAACTTTTTTTTTTTTTACTGGAGTTTTGATAGTTTTTTAGAAATTTATGCCTGCCCTGTAGGTACTGAAAACCAGTCTTTCCCTAATTCTGGGCCCTCTGTGGGGCAGGAGAGGCCTAGTGGGGCTGCCATTACCTACAGGAAACACTTTGGGCTAATCCGGAAGAGGGTGTTGACTGTGGTCTCTGTGGCTCAACTGATGGGGCCTTGGAGCCTGAGGTTGAGAGAAAACACCACGGAGGCAAGTGAGAATATCCTGATCAAGCCTCACTAGGTGCGTGAATTGGTCGCAAGGCCACACTTCTCTCACTCACTTACCTTGGGATTTGTAGAGGAAAATTCCTAGACCAGTGACACCAATACACAGGACAAAGCAGAGTACTCCCAGTAAAATAGACGGCAGGCGCCAGGGTGAGGGCTGGAAAAAAGTCTCTGAAAAACAGTCCACAGAGACCCCTTCAGTCAGTTTTGAACAAAAACACAGCTTGATTCCCAGTTAATCATCTCAGATGATTCCCGGGGAATCATCTCATACCACAAGATTAAAAAAAGACAATTTTCTATAATTTTTCTTTATGTTTAAATCATTGCAATGGGTATACATCATAAGTTCTGCTCTATCTGTATTTTATTTTTGTATATAAAATGATAATAAAGTTTGATTTCATTTTTTTTCCTCAAGCGATAACAACTATGCCAGTATCATTACTTAACCAATTCACACACCTGGGGCAATGGGTATACATCCCGAGGTATGACCGGGAACACCCAGGGGGCTGTTAGTGGGACACCTTGGAGCCGTGGGTGGGGGTCAGGAGTATATGAGCAGATTCACTCTCCTTAAAGCCCAAAATCCAGTATTCAGTTTAACCCACCCTTTTCTCTGTCAATAAAAAGGCCAAGATCTTGCTCTTGAGCATTCATTTTACATCCTACTCCCTGACTCTTGTTTCCTTTCTTTATCACTGTGGTGTTGCTGATGCAACATGTCACATCAAACTTCTATTCAGAAATAGATTGTTTCCTGATCTTTGTTTTGTGCCATTGTCCACTGATCTGTCTTGACTGACATTATCATCTTGACTGACATATACTTTTGACTATATAATCACAGCTCTATTGGTATATATTAGACTAAATGTCTCCAATTTTTTCAGATGTTACTGTGTCTCAAACATTCTCAGCAAATTTTGTAGTCACATACATTTAGAATTTTTCTGGTTCAAAAACTTTGTTGAGACTTTCAATAGAAAAATATTAACTATATAGACCAATTCTGGGAAATGACAACTTTAAAATTATACATCTTGTTACCTGAAAGAAGTTACATCTTTCTCCTTTTTTTAGTTGTTCTTGGTGCCCTTTTGTAACAGGGTGGTGCCCAGAAAAAGGGGAGTCCCAGGTTCCCTACCCCACCCAAAGGAGGGTGGAACTGAACAGGGAGGAGAAAAAGCTGGAGAAGAAACTGAGGAAGGAAGCAGGATGGAGAGCAGAAGGAGACCTGGAGGAGGCACATGGGTCAGATCCAGCAATTCCACTCCTAGATATCTACCTAAAGGACACAAAAACATTCATTGAAAAAGACACCTGCACTTCTATGTTTATTGCAGCACTAGTTACAACAGGTAAGCTATAGAAACAACCCAAATGCCCAAAAATAGATGACTGTGGTATATATACACAATAGGGTTTATATACACAAAGAAGATGTGGTATATAAACACAAATGGAATACTATTCAGCAATCAAAAAGATAAACCCATGCCATTCACAGCAAAATGGATGGAGCTGGAAGGGATCATGCTCAGTGAAATAAGCCAGAAAGAAAAAGAAAAATACTGAATGTTATCAATTATAGGAGGAATGTAGAGGATCCAAATAAGGGATCAGGGAAAAAAAGTTATTATAATAAAGTGGAAATAAAAATCAACAAGCAACTATAAACCAGAGACATTCTGCAGGGTAGAAAAAGGGAGTAGGAGCAAAACGGGTGGGAAGAGGACTATGGTGACCACATATGGGTGAATTGGTGGTGGGAATTTCATGGGCACTATAACTGGGATGAGAAAGCATCTCAGAACGATGGAAAAATATATAAAAAATAAAATTATTAAAATATAATAATAAAAAAGAGCCTCCCTGGTGGCACAGGCCATTGAGTGCCACAATGTGAAGCTGTCTGCAGCCTCTGCAGCGCGGGTTTGATCCCGGCCAGCTGGCGAGAATCCCACATGGTGCAGCAGACCTCTCCTGTTGCATCTGCTGCTCCCCTCAGCAGTGTGTTTCATCATTCTGTCTGTTCTGCTCCCCCCTCTGTCTCTGGTGAATCCTCTCACCCTCCCACACATCTGGCCTGTATAATGGTTCTTACATAAATAAATAAACCTTTTTAAAAAATTAATAATAATAAAATAACCTCAAAAAAATAGAGAAAACTAAAATAAATAAATAAATAAATGTTTTAGCTCATTTGTGATTGTATTCTTCTTTATTGTATGGCTAGTAATTGAGTATAGTGTCGAACAACACTGTTTAATATTCATTGTTATAAAGTTCACAATTATAAATGGCATACTGTTAGATAGGATGCTTGCTATAGGAATTTTTAGATAGTTTTTTATGATATCAATTAGACTCTATTTAGTTTCTAGATTTATAAAAAGTTTCTTCTATTTCTAGGTTCCTGCATGTTGAAATTTATCTTGGTTTTACTTTCAAGTATTGAGAAAATTATAATCCCCATGTACTTAATTTTTTGATGCAATTTCCAGTATGACTTTTTTTTTTCTGTTCTAGTTTATTGTTTGCATATAGGAACAAAAAAGACTTTAGTATATTGATTTTGTAGTCTGTCACTTTATTGCACTGTGTTTTGTTTTTAATAAGTTTTTTTTTTTAATGTGGAATCTATGTGTATCAGCAAATCATCTGCAAATGGTGGTAGTTTTACATGTTCTTTTCCAATTTGTATTCCTTTTGTATCTTTCTCTGGCCTAATTAACCTAGTTAGAACTTCTATAACATGATGAATGATAGTGGTAAAAGTGAGTATCTTTGTTTTGTACCTGATTTTAGGAGAAAAAACTTTCATTTTCACCACTGTGTATCATGCTAGTTGTGGGTTTGTCATTTTTGTTCTTTATAATGTTGAGGTATGTTTCTATCATAAATGTATGTTGAATCTTGTCAAAATCTTTCTGTTCATCTATTGATATAACTATATGATTTTTATTTTTCCTGTTGTTGATGTTAGTTAATTACATTGATTGTTTGTGCATTTTGAAATATCCTTACATCTCTCAAATCCCACTCAGTCATAGTGTGTGAGCCTTTTTATTGCATTTCAGTTTCTAAGATTTTCTTGAGGATTTTTACATCAAAGTTCATCAGGAATACTGTTCTATAGATTGCTTTTATGGTAATGTTCTTGCGTGCTTTTGTTTTCAGGGTAATGTTGGCCTCATAAAACGTACTTAGAACTATTCCCACTTCTGCCTCCCAGGAAAACATGGGCCTGCCTGCAAGGTTGCTGGAGTTTGGATACCCTGTCACCCCCTTTCATAACTGAGTACAGGCAGAGGGAGGGCTCCACCATCAAGGTGAATATTGGGTTCCAGAAAAGCACAGGCCAGCCTGCAAGGCTTTTAGAGGAGGAGACCCTGTGCCCCTCTTCAGGAACTGAGTTAAGGCAGAGAAAGGGCTCAGAAACAAAGGATAAGGTATGAATGTAAGGGAAGAGACCAGCAGCACACAGAGACTCAAGTGATCTTCAGAGATAGTGCCCATCAATCCATCCACAGCATCACTGTCCTTGTAAAGTCTAGCATGACTCAGTTTGGCCACCAGTCCCCAATGTCTCAGTAGGAGCACCCTGAAGAGATGCCTGCCAGAGTAGGTAACAGTGGCCCAGCACATGGAACAAATTCAAAAACAAATGCAAGGAGAAAGAAAAATACAAATAACCAAGGCAGAAGGACACCACAAAAAGAAAATCAGCCACAAGAACTCAACAACAATGACATGGAATAACTTCTCTGCCTGATATATAGAATCACCATGATTAACTTAAGATTAATTTAGAATCACCATGATTAAATAATATAAAGAAGATGAAGAGAAAAAGAATGATATGAGAAATAAAATTAATGAAATGAAAAATGAAATTGTTTCTTTAAAGAAGGAAATGAAAGAAACCCAGGACATTAAAAGACTAATGGAGGAGCTAAAGAGCCCTGGGAAAAGTAACAAAAACAGAATTGATAAAATGGAAGAATGAATCAGTACTCTTGAAGATACAGATATAAAAAGAACCAAAAAAGAAAAGGAAAAAGAGAATTACAAAGGAAAAAGAATGAAGAAACACTTTGAGAAGTATCTGGCACCATTAGGAAAGGAAATATAAGTTATAGGATCCCAGAAGGTGCTGAGACAAAGGAACCAAGAAACTATTCAAAACTATTCAAGGAGATAATCAGAGAGAACTTCCCAAGCATGAAGAAGGAGATGAAAATAGGCATACAGGAAGCTAAAAGAACACCAAATTACCACAAAGAAAAACTACAGCAAGACACATAATAGTAAAGCTTACAGGAGTCTAACACAAGGAAAAAATAATGAAGCTGAAGGGGAAGAGGAAATAGATAACCTATAAAGGAAAACAAATCGGGCTGACATCAGACTTCTATGAAGAAACACTATCAGCAAGAAGAGAATGAAGTGATATATTTAACAAGCTCAAAGTTGACAAATGCCAACCAAGAATACTTTGCCCTGCAAAGCTCTTTCCTCTATGAAGGAAAAATAAGGACCTTCTCAGACAAACAGAATCTCTAGAAATCCTTTACTACTAAACTTACACTCCTAAAAACATTACAAGAAGCCCTAAAACCGAAAGAGGAATGAAGAGGAAGAACAGAATAAGATATGGAAAGGAATCACAAAAAAGACAAACAAAATGGCAAATATGGACACCAGCATATCAGTATTAACCCTAAATGTAAATAGATTAAACTTATCAATAAAAAGACACAGAGTAGCAGGTTGAATTGAAAAACAAAATCCAATCTTCTGTTTACAGGAAGCACATTTTACTACAAAAAATAAATAGAGATTGAAAGTAAAAGATTGGAAAACAATCCTACAAACAAATGGACCAAAAAAGAAGGCAGGAACATCCATATTTACATCAGATAAAATACACTTCAGCCTAAAAAAGGTAAAAAGAGACATAGATGGTCACTACATTATGATTAAGGGGACAATACATCAGGAGGATATAACACTCATCAACATATACTTACCAAATAAAGGAGCACCAAATTATAACAGACAATTATTATCAGCTCTGAAAACAGGCATTAGAGAAAACACATATGTAGCAGGAGACTTCAACACTCCACTCTCACCAATGGACAGATCAACGAGACAAAACT